TTCCTGCTCACCCGCCGCAGGGAAGCGGTGAGAACAGCTCTGCGGAGCCGCGCGTGCCCTCGAAGAGCGCCCAGGAGTGTGGCCCTTCGTGCGACAGCGTTGTTTCATTCCTGGGAGTCTGCCCGAGTGGTTTTATTCCCAGGGGGCAATGGAGTGACCGAGTTGCTTTTAGCTCTGTAATAGTTGCCAAATGCTCTACAGCGAGCTGTTCTTACAGCCCCGTGTCGTGTAGTTATTTCCAAATCCTTTGATCACCTGTCAGCTTAGCCCGTTTAGCTAGGAGGCCATCGAGGGCCTTGCCCTTATTCCTCGAGAAGGTTTACCCTTCTTTCTGTGCTAGAAATTGGATCTGGGTTTTACTTTAAAGCTCAGGAATTGGTGATAATCAGATATTACAATTTATATTACATTACATCTTCTAATTGACAACCTGAATTTCTTCATTTGTAAACAGGGCTGGCTCATAAATATAACACCCTGTCATCGCCAACTCCCACCTCAAAACAATAAAGTATACCTTCTTTTCCAGATGGGGTTAAGGGCGCTTTTTACAGCTAAATAACGGAAGAACTCATTTTAAAATTAAGAACACATTAAGAGAGAGTCGGAAAGCAAGGGGAGGGCCCAGTCCGCCTGTGCAAAGAGCAGGGTGGAGGGAGGAGCCAGCCAGGCAGGACTGAAGCTCCAAACTGTGTGAACCATGAGTGAGTCTGCTTCATTCTTTACATGAATAATTATAATTTATCTTCCCAATAATCCATTGAGGTAAAAAAAAAAAAAAAAAGTTACAGGCAAGGAAACCGAGGCTTAGAGAAGTGGAGAAGCTTGTCCCAGGCCACGCAGGTCTAGAAACCCTCTTGCACCCCCTGGGAGTCAGGCTTTACTTCCTGTCACAGGACTTTGGAGGGGACTCTTCATAGCACTTTTCATAAGCACATCATAGCCCTTCTCACGTGTATCGTCGTCTCCATCTCCCACTTCAGTTATTTCCGGTTCATCTGTCACTGCTCCTGTTACAGGAGGGACTGAATCCCCAGGCTGGAGCACTTACCCCATGGAGGGCTTTTCTGCAGGGTTTACCGTTATCTCTAAGCCACAGGTATACAATTATTGTGGGTCTATCACATTCAGGTTAGGCTTAGAATACAGTTTGGGGAAATGAGGAAAAATAATACTGTGTGTAATAGAAACATTTTTTAAAAATTTTCCCTAGAACACAAGAAAATGACCCAGAAATTTGAAAAATAACTATGACTAAATTGGACCTTCCAAGCCAAAAATGCTTTCTTTGAAAAATGCATGAGGATAAGTTTATTAAATGTTTCCATAACACTAAGCGATTAGTGGAAGAAATTATTAATCACTTAAACACAAGAAAATAGTTGACCCAAAATGCCTGCACTGAATCAATCAGAAACAGTATTTTAGAAAGATATGCATGAAAGAAAAGTTAGCAACAATATTTATATAATGCTACTTAGCAATCCAGTGTTGAATCAATTTATTAAAAAGACATAACTACCTCATCAAAATACAGAATTCTTATTAGAAACTTTTTGTTTTCCTGGAAAAAATTAGTTTTTGTACAGAAACAGTCATTTTCAGAAAGACATATATCTTGCTTAGTTGATACTAACCTTATACGATGATTATCAGCAGTCTTTTTGTGACACTTCAAGATAGGTGTAGCTTCTTCAGAACTGGCAGGAGATTTTATGTCACATTCTTACACTGATTTTCTGTAATCAGCTTGTTCAAACAGCAGCTTCGGATGGATACACTCTAAAATGGAAATCGAGATTCAGAGCAGAGGAATTCTGCCCCTCCTTTCTGCATTCTTGCTTCATCTTGACAGAGAACGTTCAAGGGCATCCTTGACCATATATATGTCACCTTCACAAGTCAAGGCCAGTTTCATTGTTTGCAATGGATTAAAAATAAAGTTGAATGTTCTGTCAGATAAAATGTTTTTACAACAGTGAAGTATTGTAAGAACTACCCATTTAGCCACAGGGCTCTTTGACTTTCTCACCTGAAGCAAAACAACTCTTCCAATGCTCCTTAAAGAAAAGAGAGAGAGAGACCATTCTGACAGCAGTGATATTTTCTCTCTCTCTTAATGGAAACCTCCCATTTTTTCAAACAGAAGGGTGTTAAGAGGAACTTTTCTTCTGGACATAATGACTGGCCAGTCACTCGTGGTACACAAGGCACAGCTGAAAGGGTGTCTGTATTTCATTAATGAAAGACTATTAACAAACTACTCAAATAATTCAGATATTTACATACAGAAAGGCAATAATATTTTACAGAGTGATGACAGCTTACATGATTTTCACTAAGTAATTGTGAGAATATAACTTTAGACGTAAAGCCAGTTTCATCATTTGCCTTTGCTAAATGTTTGCGATTATACAGCTATGACCATAATTAGGTATCATTATTTTTCCGTGTTTTTAAGATGTGGACTCTGTAAAGATCTTTCATTATGATAATATGTTGTGGCTTCAAAGGTATCAATTGTCTAAATAAAAATGCAAATTTCGGTTGGTCCAGACAATTTAAAATACTTTGATACCACCAATTACTCTTCTATAATCCTGCGTCCCCTCTACTACCTTATCTCACACTCTTCAGTACCAAAAACCTGAAAAGGAATTTGGGAAGCAGAGACCACTGTGACACAATGGATTGATCTGGGTGATGACAACAAACCTGTTGGCCAACTACTAAAGAGCAGGTGCTGCTCACATGATGATCACCTCATTCCAGGCCACAAAGGCTTTCTAGAACACCTGGGCTCTGAGAGCTGCCAGACAGGACCCAGAGCAGAGTACCTCTGTGGAAAGAGGTTGAAGGAGCTGGGACCGTTTCCTCTAATGCTGAGAGAAAGTGAACTATTTTCTTACTGCTCTCTCTCTCTCTTTGGCAAGAGAAATTGCAAGGAGAATCCCTAATGAAGTATCCAGTTTCCAGAAACAGAATTTCATTGCTCTTTTTTCAACATGGCCTTTGAATTCCATTTTGCATAAAAGACCAAAGGTGAATAATGAACAGATTCAACAGTAGTTCTTCTGGACTAAAGCTGCCTGATCTCATTTTCATTTTAGAATTCAGCATATCGTCACCTACACTGCTACAGGCAATGTTTCTCAAAGGGTGGTCATGCAATAGCAATTAAGGATAATATTTTGAAATGGAAATTCCTGGGCCCCATCTCAGAACTAAGAACCTCACACTTTGGTGGTCAGAGAATCTTCATAATCAGCAAGCCACCCAGTTGATTTATATGCACATAAATATCCCAGTCTTTCAGCTTGCCATCTTAATTACAAATGCTACCTAAAAGATTTAGTGGGCCTTGCAAAGCAGAAACCAGTAACACTAAAACATTTTAAAGTACATATGTATTTTCAAAGATGTTCAAACACTGGATAGTGGAATTTTGAAAGGAACATAATCAAACAAGAGGGTTTATAGGGAGAGCTAGGGGTTATGGAAATTA